CCAGGAGTTGGGGATTCTCCCTTAAAGTGAATGTGTTTTGGTTCCTTAAATATTGTGCTTGAGGAAATAGCTCCTTCTGCTTTCAGCCAGAAGTTGGTTCCTTCCACAGAGTCTCAGGTTCACTTTCCTGCACCTGGGAGACTTTTGCCCAGAACACTCAAGCAGGGACACACTTTCATGAGGATTCTCTTGGAAGAGCAAAATTCCAGTGTCTCATCTGTCCCAGAGACGGGGTATGTGTTCCTCATCTAAGATGTCTTTCAGTGTTAGCAAATGCTCATTTTCTATGGGCTCAACTTAAAAGTTCTTAGCTGTTGGATAGGAGGGAATGGTTGAGACACTTCAGTGTTCCTCCTTCCCTAGTCTTTAGCAGAAACACGCCTCTAAAGAGTATAGCACAAAGTGACAGGAAAAGATCAGAAATGAGATCAGAAAAAGGAAGTCTCTTCTTCTCATGCTCACAGTGAATTATTGAGACAATTTTCCCATGAGTCATCATCTTCAGTCTGGAAAGGCAAGAGCAGGGAATCACAAGAACCAAGATCGCCTCTTCACCAGTGAAAGATCAGACGTGGAAGCAAACTGAAGCAGAACAGACTCGACATTCTCCTCTAGCGTATAGAGCGGGGATCAGGCCGGGCTGTCCCACTGAAACCTGTCCCCCAACTCTTACAAACAGCTTCCCGCCTATTGCCTTTTAACTGGTAGTTGGGGTCCTGTGATTTATTAATACATGTATATTTCCTAAATATAAACTAGATTTCATAAAAGGACCCATTTTATAAATTCACATTTTTGTTAGTACCTAAGTCCATTAGGGAATGCCCCAACACTACTTTTCTCTAGCACTGTTGTCTAAGATAACAAACCACAACAGTCAGAACGAGTAAAACAGGTCAAGCAAGGAGCAGCAATAAATTCATCAATTAGTAAGTCTAAATGTACCATACACAAAACAGAAATCAAAGATCTTGCCTGCAAAATGTGCCATCAAAGAAACACATTCTTTCCATGTTCTCAATTTATCGTCATTTTCTTTTTTTTTTTTTTTTTTTGGTTTTTTTCTCTGGTACCGGGAACCGAACTCACGACCTTGCGCTTGCCAGGCAGGCGCTTTGCCACTGAGCTAAATCCCCAGCCCCCTATCGTCATTTTCAAGAAAATACAACCCAAATGTTCATCAACTGAGGAATGGATAAAAAAGATGTGGTATTTTTACATAATAGAGTATTACTCAGCTATAAAGAAAGATACACAAGAGGTTTTTATAGGTAAATGGATGCAACTAGAGACCATATTCTTAAGTGAAATAAATCAGATTCACATGTGTAAACGTTGTATTTCCTCCCTACTATAAGAACTTGAAAGAGTAAATAAAATCTGAAGGGTACAATAGATATTATGAAAAGGAAAAGAAACTGCTCAAGTAGGAAGGAGCAACTGGGATGAAGGAGGGGAGAGGAAAAAGAAAGAAGAGGAAAAAAATATGTATATGTATACACAGGACAGCTAAGATAATTGTACTGCTAATATCTGTTGGTTTATTGAAAGGAACTATTAATGTGTAATTGTTTGATCAATCTTGCATGCCTATATCTGGTTATATGTGCAACCATTTTGAAGATAACATATGTAATGGGACAACCATTGTTAATGTCCTAGCACCATGTTTTGAAATTCTGTATCATTTTTATTGTTCTCTATGCTTCTTTGTTTATATATTTGTTTTTGTTATTTTGGGTTGTTTTCTTTTCTCTTTAAAGTGAAAAAACAAAACATATGTATATACAAGGACAGCTGGAATGGGTGCATTGCTGATGTCTGTGGTTTATTGAAAGGAACAGCCAATGCTTAAATTTTCCTTTTTTCTTGACCAATTTTGCATGCTTGAATCTGGTAATCAGAATGACTGATCTGAAAACAATAATATGCAGTATAAGAACCATTGTTGAACTCCTACCATCTTGTATGGTGAAGCTCTGCATCATTCCAATGTTTTTTTTATTTTTATTACTTGTTACTGTCTTTGATTGATCAATCTTACATTCTTACATGTGGTAGACTGAGCAACTTGTTGAAGATAACAGTATCTAATGTAGCAACTATTGTTAATTCCTATCATTTTGTTTTAAGGTCAAGTATCTTTTCTGTTGTTTTTGTGTTGTTTTGATTTTGTCTTCATTGTTATTTTGTTAGTTTTTTTAATCTTTAAAATAAAAAAAAAATTTAAAAGTAAAAAAAGGACAAAAGAAAATGCAATGCATAAAAAAAGGACAAGGCATAAAAATTCAAGGTATAAGCAACTGACAAACAAGGATGATAATTTATGATTACTTAAATGAGTTACAATACAGAATCTATGAAACAAAAGCAAACTCTTACCTCACTTCCATAATGGGACCACATGCAAATAAATCTCACACCTTACACAGAAACTAAAAATGCACAGATCTAAATGAAAAACATAAAATTATGCAACTAAAAGAGAACAGAGGATAATCCTCATAAGCTAGGATTAAGCAGTTTGGGGTCATGACACCAAAAACATTTTTAAAAAAGATGAATTGTTATTGCATCAAAATTAACAATTTCAAACCAGGAGCAGTGGCATACACCTTTAATCCCAGCTATTCAGGAAGCTGAGGCAAGAGGAGTGAAAGTTCAAGGCCAGAGTGGGCCATTGGGCTAGAACTGTCTCAAAACGTATCTTTCTAAATGGCTGAGTTATAGCTCAATGGTAGAACACTCCTGGATTCAATCTCTAGTACTGAAAAAAAATTTATTCTACAAAAGACATTTCTGAGCGAATGAAAGACAAGCTGCAGACTAGAAGGAAGACGTCTGTAAATCATGTATCTAACAAAGGAATTATATTTAGAATATATTTTTTGGCCTTAAAAATGTACTATATAGCATTTTAAAATGCCATTGCTAGGAGAAGCTGGATTACGGATACATAAGACCCCTCTACTATTTTTGCAGCTTCTCTTGATTCTATAGTTACTTAAAAACGGAGACTAATTTTTAAACTATAGGTTGGAAATTTATCTAACAGACTTACAGTCCCACATCTCTGAGTGGAATCTGAAGTCTATTCTAACATAATACTAATAGAGACATAATTGATAAAACTATTCTAGAGAGCAATTTGGCTAAACAAAGAATATGTTAACCCTTGACCAAGAAATTCCATTTCTAACTTTTCCTAAGAAAAGAGAAATATGTACAAATCTGCATACAATGATGTAGTTTTTCTCATTTGTTTGTAATAGTGAAAAGCAGGAAAACACTTAAAAATGGTACACCAATAATGAACCCAGCAAGAAATCTGGAAAATAATCCTATTAACTATAACATAAAAAAAAGAAATCTCTTGGAATTAATCCAAAAAAGTGACAGAAAGACCTCTACAATGAAAACTATAGTGTTCTGTAGAAAGACACTGAAGAGGACATCAGACAATGGAAAGATACCCCTGTTCCTGGATAGGCAGAACCAGTGTTGCAAAAATGGCTGTATTACTAAAAGATAGTGTACAGATTTAATGCAATCCCAATCTTCACAGAACTAGAAAAAATAATCTTAAAATTATATTGAACCAGAAGAGACTGAGAAGAGCAAAAGCAATCCTGAGTAGCAAAAGCAAAGCACTCCCAAATTTCAAGTTATATTATAAGGCCACAGTCATGAAAAGCAGTTCAATTCTCGCTATTAAAAAAAAAAAAATTAAAAATGCAAATCAAACAAAACTCAGGTTCTATCTTACTTCAAAAAGAATTTCTATCATCAAGACTTCAAAAACTAACAAATGCTGCCAGGTTGTGGAGAAAAAGGAAAATTCCTCCACTGTTGGTGGGACTGTAAAGTAGCACAACTGCTATGGAAACCAGTATGGAGATTCTTCAAAACACTAAAAACAGAAATTCCATTTGACCCAGCTATACCTCCTCGAGATATCTTCCCAAAAGAATTAACATCATCATATTACAGTGGTATGTGTATATCCATGTTCCTAACAGCACAATTCATACTAGCTAAACTATGGAAGTGGCCCATATGCCCATCAGCAGACAAATGGACAAAGAGCACATGATACAGGAAATGCAATCATTTTGATAGGAAGTAGGAAGATAGACTAGGTGGAGACAGGAAGGGGATCTGGGTATAGGAGTAGATGAGAGGATGAGTAACGGAAAGAAAAAGGATCAAGGTGTGATATATTGATCATGTAGGGCAAACAAACTAATAAAACTTTTCATTAAAAAATAAAAATCACAAAACCTTAAGCACTGAGAATAACTGGGATATTAGTACAACACACCCAAAAGACAGAATACAATACAGCCATAAGAAGTTAAGCCATAGAAGAATATTTATTGACATGGAAAAATGTTAACAATATGCCTCTATATGAAATATGTGGAATACAAAACAGTATATACAGTCTAATACCATTTTTTTGAAAGAAGAATAGCCATATATACAAAAATCATACATACAAAAAATAATAAATGTATACACCAAATGTTTATAATGGTTATCTTTATAGTGGGGTATGTACTCTTGCCAACAAGTTTCACCTGCCCTAGAAACAGTATTTGTGTCATGCTACTGTCCCTTGGTTATGATTAGTGTGACAAAATTCTCTTCAAATAGACTGCTCAGGATACATACCTCCACAGCATACCTTTGATGTAGCTGCTGCTATTCCAATTTAAAAAGTAGATTCTACTTGCTTTTCTATCCTGGCATATAAAGACTATTTGTAATACTAATATAGCATACTATAAAATATACCACAGAACAGATCTGATTATAGAAAATTATTATCATTATTTATTATTATTATTATTATTATTATTATTATTATTATTTCTCTTTTTGAGGCAGGATCTCACTACGCAGCTCAGGCTGGCCTTGAACTTGCATTGATCCTCCTGCCTCAGCCTCCTGAGTGCTGGGATTACAGGTGTGTGCCACCATGCCCAGCTATCAGAAAATTATTATTTGGAGGAAATTTTCTATTTCTATGGGGAAATTTTCTGTTTCAGAGAAATTTTAAATAAAAAAATACTGTCATTAGTTAGGGTTTCCACTAGTTGCAGAGTACAAAATAATTCAGGGTTGAAAACTGCAGAATTTTGATCCTTGGTTACCAGCTAACTGACTTTGGGTAAAGGAAACTAGTATTTTTTAATTCAAAAAATATGGCTAATAATTTATAGAAAGAAGTAAAAGATAAGACTTTTTAAGTAAGAAAAAATGAGATCATAGCTATAAATGGTATTTTCTGTAAGGACTCAAATGTTAGATAAAACAGGAAGAAAAAAATTTTAATGAGGCAGAAAAATTAACTTACATTTCTTTTTCTGCAGCATCAAATTCTTACTGTTTTCTGTCACCTGCCACAAGTTTGAAAAGCCAAAATTGTGAAACTATCTTAATGTTAATAAATGGCCTCTAACTTCTTTAACAGTTAATATATAGTACATATTTAACACTTGATGGAAACTAAGTGCCCCAAATATATATATATATGTCATCCTATGGCTCTTAATAATTTGTAACATTAAATGTTGAAAAGTAAGATTTCAGGTCTCAAAATAAATCATCATGCAAAGCTATTAAATTCTTATTAAAAACACCAAGTAAGAATATTGGATCTTTCAAAGATAAGACATAGGAGAAAAGAGGAATAATATTTGCCCAACCTATGCTCTTTCCCATGCTCTAGCACCATCCAAAAACTGCCTCCTAATTTCTGCTCCCTCTTTTGGGAAGGGAATCTCAGACAAATTTGTGATGAAGTGGTAAACTTTAAAAACCATTTCCAAACATAATGGAAAGGAAACAGTTCATGACTTATTATATCTCAAAGGTTAATTTATTACCTAAAGGCCTAAAAGTAACTTGCAGATGGAAGAAACATAAAACACTGACAAAACGGAAGATTTGCTAAAAATGGTGGGGAAAAAAAAGGATTTCTTTGTTTTTCCAATCAAGAGATGCGTTCCTCCTCTTCTTTTCAAATCATGGAATTGGGAAAGCCAGCCAATAAACCCTTGTCCTACACCAGAGTCATTCTGCCACCTCCGCAGATATCCCATTAACCATAGCCTAACTTCACCACAGTTGTAATGTCTCAGTGACAATCACAAGAGACACACCTGGTCCACGGTGTGACAAGAGACCAGAATATTACATAAACACATTTCAGGGGTGGAAGAAGTCTACTGATACTCCATGTTCACTGTTGTACTTTGTAAGAGTTAAACAAAAAACGACAGAGACTAGAAAACCACTTTTTGATATTTCACCCCCAATTTGTGACAGAAACGGAAGCATAACACTTAGGCTAACAGATACAGTAGATGAACTACAACTCAGCACATAACCGCAGATGGGTTCTCCTGGATTTTCACTCCATCTATTACTCAAGGATGAACACTAAAAAATGAAAAGTGACACACTTATGAACTAAAATTGCAAGAAAAAACTCTCCAAAATCAATCTTCAATGAGCTCCTGTTTCAATAAGCCATAAAGAGCAATAAAAGGCAATATTCATTTAGAACATGAGAATCTCTATGACAAGAAATCAGGTACTTATTTTCCTCAGGAGACACTTCTTCCCCACCTAACAAAGGCACTTGACATGTACTGAAATGGACAGTTAATTTAGATACTGCCCCGAGCAACTGCTACCTTCCTCAAATTACATGAAACAGTGATTAAGCTGAAATTAGTTCTCTCAAATAAGCCGCAACACACATGAATATATCATAACTTCTCTATTTTTGGCAGATGATAAAACCAAAGAAGAAAAGATAATGCTGGTGTCCGCGACGAACTGGCTGAGAGGAGCAGTCAAGGATACGCTCTGTGCACAATATATTCCTTGGTGACTACGGAATGTGTGTGTAATTATAGGCAGAGTAACCTTTTGTGCAGTTTCAAGTATTAATGTTCACTCTTCTTCTTGTCCTTTTTTACTTTTTTGTTCTTTCCCAAACCCTTAGATGATTCCTCCTGAAAAAAACACAGATCAATACAGTATCTCCCCATTCATATTAAGATAGAAGCTTGCATCTAATCGTGCACTCTATATATAATGGTGAGAGTATAATTACTTTCATATGTGTTATCTTTGTGTCTTAAATGGCTCTCTCATTTATAGTCCATCACAGTGTTTTCAAGACAATTAAGGATAATTAAGAAAACACTTATCTAGTAGAATTATGCTTGAACAATTTCAATATTATTTAATCTATTTCCATTTCTCAAGGCAGTAAAGTTTAAATAAAGTAGATATGAATATGCTTCAAACATAAAACAAAGTAAACTCAAAGTATAAATGAAGAAAGTATCTAAAGGCATGTCAGCGGGAAGGAGAAATCTTTTGGCACTAACAGTAGAAAATTCTAGAATTTTGTAGACATTTAAAGAACATCTGTCCAGTGTAACATCAGCTATAATCTCTCTGAGCCTCATTGCAGGGGGGAGAAACTAGTCGGTCTTTAGAGGTTTTTTTTTTATATAAACTCTATAAACCTATGACAGAAGGATATAAAGAGATGAATTGATGTACCCAAGGTCACACGACTGTCCAGTCATATTTTTGACTAAGGCCTGAGCCTCAAGCTTCTGAATCCAAAGGTTTAACTAATGTACTACACACACTCGGATTCAGTCTTAATTTTCTTTTTATAATTTCACAGGCAGTGATAAGAAACTCTCAATATAATATTAAAAGTCACTTACAGGTGAGCTTATATAGTTCTTCTCCAGTAGTATGTTCCTGGCACAGTTGTTGATATGCTTGAAGCGATCTGGTCCTAGCAGAATCCCTCCATACCAGCGTGATACTACCACCATGACATTCCTCACATTCAAAATCTGTTATTTTCAGAAGCACAGATACAGAAAAACACGTATAAATACAAGTTTTAAAGGACAGTAAAGTGACCCCTATATAAAATTGCACATAAAATTTCCCAGTGACTTTAGTGGCAGAATCATATGAGTATGCACTGAGTGAGATTACTAAAAATTCAGCGGGGGGGAAACAATAGAATAGGAGAGAATTGGAAACCAACACTGTGTCCCAGTACCCTCAAATGCCCCACTTCATGGCAAGCTGGCAGAATGAAGGGGAAACCATGCAGGATGGTTCTAGTTCTTGGTGACCTCAACCAGAACAACTCAGTTTAAGTACTCTTTTGCTACCAGGCCAAACAACAACAACAAAAACTCTGCTTCTAAACAAATTACTAGGAGAGAATAGGGACTGCAAGAGTAATCACTGGTGCCTACCAATAAGGTCTTCATGAGTTTGATATCTACCAAAGGCTGCTCCTAAAATGAAGACCACCGGACCTACCTTTAGAGTTCCTATTCAAGAGAAATATCTAGTGAGAAAACAAAATTCCATATAAAATAGGAGAAGAAACCGTAGTAACTACCTTAGGGCAAAAATAATCCATTCTTAAAATTAATAGACAACCAATGATCACCAGACAGATGAAGAAAATCCAGCAGCATGAAAGAGAAAGGACAAGATAAACTAAAATGGACCAGGAAAAATTTAAGCTGAACCATCTGAAAAAAGAAACTCTGATTAATATACACAAAGAAATTCCAAAAGATATTACATAATAAAACCAGAAGAGGTTTCTGTGAATAAGTAAAAATGAAGAACAAGTTTTAAAAACTTCTAAAAATTCAACACATAATTGCTAAACAAATTCAAAAATTCTACATAAGTTTTGGAAGACAATCAACAAAATGGCTCAGAACATAAACACGAAGTGGAAAATTTAATTTTTAAAAGTTGTGGATCTATCCACAAGTTCCAATATTCAACTAACAGGAGTTCCACAGAAGAGAATAAGAACAACAAAAAACACAAACAGTTGTTTTCCCAAAGTTGAAAATAATCTTCTATTATTGATGTCTTGAAAACACAAGCCTTTGTTATTAAAAATTTGCTTTCTACTCCATATCCACCGGTTAAAATTTCCACTCAATGTTTAAAAATTAACTACTAATTAAACTAAATAATATTATGTTAATATTGTTTAACTGATTTACTTATTCCTAAGTGAAGCTCTGTTTTGTTGAGAAATTTTATGGCTCACATAGAAGAAGATCCAGAGTTGACTTGCACTTACCTCCATGAGATGGAGAAGACGTCCGCCAGCCGCCGTTTCCCCGTCATCCTCACAGTCTTGCAAGAAGGTCTGTTTACCCTCACAATATATTCTAGAAATACACATACAACAGGGTTACACTGTGAGACTTCAAAACAGTATGAAGGTTCTCACCCCATACTTGTTGCAATCCCCTTGATTACTTCCAACATCAGCACTCTTTATTTAAAAAAATGCTTCTTGAACTCTATGAGATACATTTTCATACACAATTTGCTACGCAGTGTATTTCCTCTTTTTATGTTTAAAAAACTAGGAATCAAAGTTATCTCCTTTACACCACTGGAAATGCTGTTTTCATGGGAAGATAAATCTACACAGCTCATATTTCCTTTACTGCATTTAACTTTAAAGTTAGGAAGCAATGAAAAGCAGTCATTGAAAAGCATTTATTGGGAAAATACTATCTAGAAGCATTATAATAACAGATACTATGAAATGATGTAGAAGCCTAAGATCTGGGCGATGGATAAGATCAAAATATATTATACGCACAGAACTCCACCACACACAAAAAACTATGAAACTGGAAGGAAAGGTGGGCAAAAGGGTTCTAGGGGGCAAAAATGACTAAGTGTGCTATGCATACATACAAGTCTGCCAGAATGAAGCCCATTCCTTTGAATAACAAATATGTGCTAATAAAAACATTTTTTACATATATAAACTATCTGTTTGATTGGTTCTGTATCTCCAGTAAACATCATTTGGGTAGGCTGTATTCTCTCAGAGAAGAATGAAAAGCCACGTGACTAGTCACATCACAGCCCCATTAGTTAGTCTAAGAGAGAAGATGATTTCTCTGTCACAGAGATCCATCAACAGCAATCAGTAAAAGAAATAAACCTTCAGTCATTTCCTCCACAGAAAAAGTCCCTTTCCTGCCCAGATAGGCATATTCTCAAAATGATCCTAGCAGACAAAGGGTTGATGGCAGGTGGTAGATACAGAACAACATCTGCTTTCTTCCCAATAACTCTGGGAATTCCAATGCAGGTTAAATGTGAAACTTAACTCTGACGTGGTACTGGCTCAACCTGAGCCAGGCCCTGATAGCTGTCATCTTTTGTGGCTCCAAGTCCTACTCCACGTATCTATGGTTAGAAACACAGAAGCAAGGGCCTCTGAAATTTAAAAACATCTTAAAAGCCTCAGGTCCAGTGAAAGAAACAAAAATCACACAAAGATGGTCGCTATATTAAGTTATTATGTTCTACTTTTCTCTCATCTTATTTTAGCCACCAAGCATTTCTCTATTTTCCCCATCTGAATACAAATTAAGATTTAGTGTTCTTTAAAATGTCTCTTAGGTAATCAATATTAGAGATAAAACATAGAATTTTTATCCATTTACGTTATCTAGAAAGTTGGTATTCAGAATAACAATGTAGGGCAACATTGCAGTAGAATAAATTTCGCAAATGAAATGCCAGATCCACTTTGCGCCAGTAAAGGTACGCCATCTAGTGGATTTCTGGAGTCCCTACAATGATATCTTGAGAAACTAAGCCCTGAAGAGTTCAAAACTTGTGCTTGCTTCGGCAGCACATACGCAAATTCACAACTGTAACTATACGGAGAAGATTGGCACGGCCCCTGCGCTAGGGTGATACAGGCTTCAATATCAGACGGTTTCTCTTATGAGAAGCCCAAGCTTGTAAATAAAAAGCAAAATAAAAGATAATAGGAAGTAAGGAGACCTCTTTCAAACAGGAAGGGGAACAAGAGATGGGGGGGGGTAAGGGAAAAGGGATTTAAAAAAAGAAATGAAGAAAAAATGGAAATGGAGTTTCTGTAAAGGGGAAGGGAAACGAAAGTTGAAGGGAGCAGGGAGGGAGGGATGACAGGGGAAGGGGCCAGAAAAAGAACTGGGATGTGTTAAGGACATACACAAACTCCACGATAAATGTAATCATTATGGACTGCAAACATGTATAGACTAGTGAAAAAGAAATACTGGAAAAAGCTGAAAACTATGGAAACATAAGACTAAAAACGCTCATCTACAGACCTCAATCATTGTATCAATTGTTATATTATAGCTGTTTTATTTACTAATTCCATTTATCCACCCATCTTTCCATCCACTCATCCATGTATTTGCTGGAACATCTATTATGAGCAAGCTCTATTATTATGCTGAGTTGACTTCATTTAAGAAAAAGTACTAATGGCTGGGGATGTAGCTCTGCGGCACAGCACCTTCCTGGCAAGCACAAGGTCTTGAGTTTGATTCCCAGGACCAAAAAAGAAAGAAAGAAAGAAAAAGTACTATAAAACAAAATTCTATATGGCAAACTTAAGGCAAATATAAAGAATCAGGCATCCGTTTAGCTCAGGGTTGTAATTATAATCTAACACCATAAATTTATGAAACAATGTAGAAAACTTGACTACAAACATTAGTACTGCTAAATTAAGAAAAAAAAATTGAGCCCACAGAAATTTTCACTGGCCCTTTCCTCACGCTCCAGGAAGGTAAGGGTACAGCACCCAACAGCAGTGTGTACCTGCAGCCTGAAGAGCACCTGGTAACTCCAAATCAAGAACACAGCCCCAGGACCAGGAAGTAACCTTAGAAGGACTCTATGCATTCAAAATACCCAGAGTCTATGTACCAAATAAATTCACTTTTTTATCCCTACAGGGGTCCCACAAGCATCACTTTGTGCCTTTGTAGGATTATCTGACACACAGCTCTGAGAAGCTCAGCTCTTTTGTGCCTAAGCATTAATTATAAGAGCGGGGGGGGGTCCACTAGTTGCAGTCATGGTGACAACAGCTTTGAAAAGCAACAGCTGATGGCTTAATAATATGGGACAAAAAAGGAAGGCTATAAAAGCACACTCAGAAGAACTGTATTGAAAGCCATAACTCTAGGGCTCTAAACTGACTAATTAGCATATCATTTTGCCTTTCTTGTTGATGATTCAGAGTCAACATCATGTACAAGACCACTATAGTACTAACCAACTAAATGCATAGGAATGGAATAAAGACATAAGTGGAACTGGATTATCAAATTCAGTTATTAGTTAACAATTATAGGATGGAATTTACTCCAAAGGACCTGGAAATAATTCTAGATCAAGATGGTCAAATGAGCTTAAATTCTTTTTTTCTCCACATCACACTGGTTCACCAAAAAAAAAAAAAAAAAAAAATCAGAAAAAGTGTAAACTTAGTTGTGCCAAAAACTGAAGAAGGTATTCAAAGACCAAAACAGAAAATGATGACAGATACTATAAATCAAATAACATCTGAAGCGTGAAGGAACAAGCAAAAGGTTAGTTGACATCTGAGAAAAATATAAATGAAAGAAGTACCAAAATAAACAAACTGACATCTGACTTTAAAGGGACACAGGAAATTCTCATACGAACAAGTGGAATCTTGAATAATTCTGATTAGTATCCTTAGAGAAATTAGTAAGACTGTCATGCTCACAAAATGTAACAGTATTCTGTAAAAAAAAAATCCAGTAATTTAAAACGATAAAAATTTAAGTTTCTGAAATTTATAAAATTATATCAATATAAAATTTTTCAAATCCATGAAAGGATATAAAATAGGTAGAGAGGAAATACAGCTGAAATTAGTGATCTGTCATAAAAGTTAAGAAAAATGTTGATGATGTAGATTTTAAAAAATGCTGAAAATATATGAGAGACCTGAAAAATAGATCCAGTACCACACAGTCATGTTCTAGGCTACAATCCTCAATTCAATGTGTCTCTTCTAATTAGTACGGTTGAGATTATATGTATCCTAGGTTTCAAAACTAAATAAAATGTACTTGTCATGTAGCTTTGAGAAAACACTTTTGTGTTAAGAAAAAGGGTTATAAGGATGAAGCATTGAAAAAGTAAAATTTGCATAAAAGACAGAAATTATGCCAAACTATTATCAGTTACATTTAATAGTAGAAAATGCTCAATTTCCCTTCCAATTCTTTCTTTTTCTGCATTTTTCAAATAATATACAAGTCTATTACTATTACAAAGGAAAAACATGTAAGTTATTTTTTAAAATTATACATTTCTCAACAATTGTTTTCAAATTACATATTCCAAAAAATGTAGTAATCACTTACCTATAGGCATATATGTTATGAGTAGCACTAGCTATTTTCTTATTCTCATACAACTTGGCAAGAACCATTTTCACCTTAAAAACAGCAAAAATATAAAGAAGCTAATGTATGTTTTCTATTTCCTCTGTTAATAGATGCTAGAATATATCTTAAAGCACACTGAAATAAACACCATGTTAAACAATCATTTAAAAAGTCTATAGACTTTGAAAAGGACATTTACAAAGTTTTCCCCTCATTTTAGGGGCAGAGAAATGTACTTTCAATTGGTATAAAAATCTCAGGTGTGGTGGTACATGCCTGTAATCTCAGTGCACTTAGGAGGCTGAGGCAGGAGGATCATCATGAGTTTAAGGCTCCCATGGGCTACATAGTAAGTTCAAAGACAGCCTAAACTGTACAGCAAAAACTTGTCTCAAAAAAAGACAGGTAAAAAAATGACACTAAATCTCAACACATGCTTGGGTACTAACAATGTCTGACACACTTGTGTATTAAAGTGTGTCGACCATATAAAGAGTTTGAAATGTAAATGTAAGAATTTCTGAAAATTAACTCTGAAATATACAAAATGTATAAATTCAATGCAGTAGCTTTACACTAATATATGTCTCAAATGTTACAAAACCAAAACTTTCTAGGAAAGTCAAGTAGAGAGAGTCAAGATAGAGGAGGCCACAGAAGCGGGGTCTCGTCCAATTAAGTGGCAGTTGTAAGTACAAAGGAAAAGAGAAGCAAGAGGCAGAAAGAAAAGATTCCACTCAAAGGAAATAGCATGTACAAATGCAGGGACTATGGTGACCAGACCTAGCAAATAAAAATACAGGACATTCGGTCAATTTGAAGTTTAGATAAGCAAGTAGGTACCAATGTGAGTAAACACAAATATAAAATAAATACATAAAAATAAATATAAACATGTCTGGTGCAATAACGTTTATCTGAAATTCAAATTTTACTAGATATACTGTATTTTATCCAGCAACCCTAGCAATGACATAGAGAAAGGTTCGGGAAGTTTTATGGCGCTTTAACCTATGAGTGAGACAACAGAAGATGTGCCAGGAATGACAAGCTAGGAGCATATCACAAACACCGTGTAAACCTAGGTTTTACTTTATAGGCAGTGCAAAGAAACAAAGATGGTATGTGTGAAGGAGAATAGGGGAGAGAAGACAGAGAAATGTGGTCAGATTTTCAGGAAGGTTCTAACAGGCAAGAGTATGGCAGAAATACTGGCACTATAGAAAAACTGAGCTGGAATCTAGGAGACCAATTTGGTTTCACAAATTGTGCAGCCTTGTGTTTATCATTTTTTTAACCTTTCAGGTGAAAAAATTCACATTCCTGATCAATAAAGTAAACAAGGGCCTCTGAGATTTATTTCATCTCTCACATAGTCTAAATGACTATGATCAAAAACAGAAAGAAGATTTAGGCTGAACAGATTCAAAACAGAATGTCTAAGAAGGACCTTAGCAAATGAACAAGGACCTAGGATGAAATCAAATTCCAAAAGACCAGACCCTGCACCAAACACTGTGGTCCCACCAGGTCTATGCAGAGAAGAACTTTCTCTCCCACAGCCTGAGAATAAAAGGCCCAGTACAAAGCACTGCATTCCTAAGGGTCAGGGCTTTAAAAGAACTGAGTTAGGGATGTCGGCTCAGCTGAGTAGCGGAGGGTTTGCCTAGCATGTGTAAGGCCTAGGTTCGATCACCAGCATGGCAAATGAAAGAAAAAAAAAAAGTTTAGAGGGTACCATAGCAATAGTGACCAAAGACACTAATCCCTAAAATTTGTGGTAAATAATGAGATTTTTTAAAATTATTATTTAATTTTGCATATAGAAATGCAACTGCCTCATGCATGAATAAAGTTTAGCTTGAGCTACATTATTGAAAGAAGAAAAAAAGAAAGGCAAAGACCTAGGAATAGAGTTTCTCAGGTATTCTATCTACATCCTTCGGCTGGAATAAGATCACCTAAGAGAAACAAGGTCACCAAAAACCGGGAAGCAGAAGGCAAGACCCAGATCACATATCTGCCCACTGCGCTCTCTGCTGGGCAACAGTGGAATGGACTGGGTTTCACACAACTCCCACTCAACGGGACAAATAATTTTCTTTCACCAGCTAGTAGCTATCATGGGATCCTACAATAACAGAAGTTTTTCCTAAAGATGCACTGAAGAGCTCACCCCAACCAGAGTTTAGATACAATTTTGAAAACAGTGATACAACAAATCTTTCATGATTCACAGTAACCTGGAAGTTGGAAAACAAACAGTTAATTTTTTTCAATAAAGGAGACTGAACTCAGGGCCTTTGCACTCAGCCCATTTTTATTTTTTGAGACAGCATCTCTTGCTAAATTACTAAATTGATTGGGCTGGACTTGAACTTGCAACCCTCCTGCCTCAACCTCCCACACTTTTATGATTACAAGCATATGCCACCATACCCATCTGATTTTTAACTTTCATGAAAATTTAATCTAAGAGTAAAAATTATGGTATTAGCACAAAATCACTTCAGTAAAACAGTATCAAAGTAAGCTAGACACAGTAACTTTACCTGTTTAGGACAAACTACTGGAGCCAAGTGTGCCTGAAAAGTACTTCTTCGGTCTGTAATAGGAATGCCATGATCAATTGGAGGTAATTCTTCTATTTCTACAAATTTAAAGAATTAATTTAAAAATTAATTTTTAAAAAATCTTGCAGTCCACTACTAAAAGCCTGGAAATATGCGAAGGGAACTTGGAAACAAACGTATGTTAAATGGCAAATTTAAAACAAGACAGTTATTAACTGTTGTCTATTTTATTTTATAAAAATACCTTTTATTTTGTAAAAATACGCAGTTTATAATCTTCACCTGCCAATGTCACTCAGTGAAAGTGGTAGGTTTGGGATTCAAATCCTGCACTGTTATAGCTTAAAGTTGTATTAATCTCTAATATAATATTTAATTTTAAAAAGTGTAAGGGGTCCCGAGAGCAAAGACTGACAGCTGTTAATATTCTACAACTTACACATTAATTCTGCTGTTGACAGACTCTGGGTTGGGAAACCTATGACTTTTTACATTTTATGATTACAATATAATACCTTCTAATGAAATTATTCTACTACAAGTAATAGAATGGATCAGTACTATACCCAATTGATGCTCCACTAACAGTCTCATAATTTCCAGTTATTCTGCATCTTCAGTAAGTTTAAGAATCACCAAATAGCCCTAACCCTGATGAGAAACATAACCATCCTAGCTGGTGCGACCTGTCTCATTCAGGAAAAAAAGCTATGCAAGACAAGAAGCCAGGTTTATGCAGAATGCTGGGCCCTCCTCTGATACATCCCTCTTCTTGAGTTGGTTTTGATTACTGCACCAGTATGGTAATAAGTCAAACACAGCATACACATCAAGGTGAACTATAGACCTATTGTGCTATTTATTATAATTGATTTCCACCCTTTTCTTCAGTTGGTGGATCTTGTTTCCCAAAAGTCTGTAAAATTGTAAATATATAAATGATTAAAATAGAGCTACTGGGGTTGAAGAACAAGTAGGAGGCCTGGCTCTTCTCTCCAACCCTTTCATCTCCCCTTTAGCCCCTTTCACAAGACGTGGGTTCCCACTCAAAAACTTTCCATTTCTTAGAACACTGTTTAGAAGCTACTGCAAAATGGCACAGGTGATTGCTTGCCTTCAATAAATGAATGTTCCCTCAGTTCTATATGGTTGTGCAAGATACTTACGGAAACAGATAACATTGAACATTTTAAAATACTAAAGAGGAACATACATTTCTACAGAAACACAGTTGATATTATCACAGTTGATATTATAAATAGGTTGATATAAATCAACCTATTTATAAGTTAAATGCTACTATAGAACAAATTTGCTGAAACAAAAACTAAACTCTTACAGCCATTTTATTAGCTTTAATTTCAATAGCTGCAACCTCAGTGTTATTTTACAATAACACTATATTTGTATTTGTGAGTGCAGACTGAAATTTAACCCTGAGACATCAGGATATAGCTGAGGATTTCAAAAGAGCAATAAAAAACTAGATATGAATTGAAAATATTAACAGCCTACATCAGTTTCAATTTTTACCATCAAAACTCCAGAAAGTAGTTTAAAAAAGAAGTTCATTTCTGCTTTTAACTCAGAATTTGGATAGACCTGGCAAATACCCAAATGGACAAAAGGCAGAAAAAATAATAAATCTTATTTACCTGAAAACTAGTAACTACTTCCTAATTTTGTTTACTAAATTTCTATACCATCCCAAAGAATAACACATAATACTATAGATTCACTCCTCAAAAAGAAACTAGTTAGCAACATTATACCTGGTTGATTTTCACTGAAGTCATAATCAAATGCTCTGTAGAGATTTTCTGGGTCATAGTCTAAGAAGAGATCATCTTCATAGTCAACATCTTCCTCTTCAGTTTTCTTCTCTATAACTGGGTCTATGTGGACACAAGACATTATAATTTATGAAACAAGTAAGAAATTGCACTAAAAAATGATTAAGTTTTGATCTCTAAACACCATTCTTCAATAGAAGAAAGTAGAATTCTTCTTCTTTACCACAGAATTCTAATAAAAAAATAAAGAAGATGGAGAATCACCGTTAGGCAAACACTGCAATAATAAATGAGGTGTGATCACAAAACACAGTGACTAAATTTTTTAAAAAATTATTACACTGAAAGATACACTGCCATTAATGCCCTTCAAAATACTCCCCCTCATTTTGAACACACTTACCCCATTGTTCCTGTCATTTTTCCAAAGCAGTTCTAGAAATTCTCATTCAAGAATGTCTGTAAGTACACTACTGTGGGTACCTCAATGCCTTGAATTGATTCAAAACATTTGTTTTGCATGACCATTTTAACTCTAAGGAAGAGCCAGAAGTCATATGTACTAAATCCAGTCAATAGGGTGGATAAGAAGATATTGTAATGTTTTTATGAGCCTCTCGTTCCACTGTTTGGAACTTGGCAGTGGCATTTACATATTTTTTATCACACCATGTGAAAACACAAAAGGGAACTTCCAGAACTGCTTCAGAAGGTGCCAAGAAATGGAGTAAGTTCAAAGTGACATGGAGTATTATGTGGGGCTTAATGGCAATGTACCCTTTACTGTAATAACTTTTAAAATTTAAACACATACCATATTTTTTGATCAGCATTGTTCTGTTGACAAGATCCATTGAAGGATATTAAAATTTCTATAGTGGGTCAAAGTTCAAAGAGGAACAGGAGATAAGCTCAGCCTCAGAGTACATTCCCCAAGATGTAAAGGGAGAGACAGTAACTGTGGTGGTAATTTTACCTATCCACCTGTCTAGGCCGTGGTACCCAGACTATACCCACTAATAGCCATGGTACCCATGTTAACTAGTGTTTAATTAGCTTCACACTACTCTGGATGTTTCTGTGAAGATATTTTTAGGTGAGATTAACATTTAAATCAACTGATTTTTCAATAAAATATTTTGGTCTTCATAGTAATCATCTCATCTGATCAGTTCAAGACCTTAATTGCAGAAGATCGCCCTCCTTAGAGGAAGAGGGCATTTTCTCATTAGACTACCTTTGGGCTCAGAATGCAATATGAACTCTTCCTTGGCAGCCTCTGCAACTGTGGAAGTCAATTCCCTAAAATAAATCTCTCTCCCTGTACACAGAAACACGCACCCCACTGATTCTGTTTCTCTTGGAAACCCCAACATTAGTAATTTCACAGTGGAGACTTTTGGCCGATATTACCTTAACTGAGGGATTAACACAAACATCAACAGTAATAAAACATATGATCTTGATAGGATGCACTATGAATGACACGATATCATGTTTGTGGTATTCATGCCACAAATGATTGATCTCACTCCAATCATTAGAAAACACAGGACAAAGCCAAACTGAGAGGCAGTCAACCAAATAAATCACCAGTACTTTTCAAAAGTTATAAAGGTTAACAAAGGGCCAAGGAACTGATTATAGTCTAGAAGAAAAGAAGACTAGCTGGGCTTAGTGGTGCAGCCCTGTAATCCCAGCACTCTGGGAGGCTGAGGCAAGATGATGGCAAGTTTGAACAGAGACTGGGCAACTTAGTGAGACTCTGTCTCAAAATAAAAAATGGACTGAGGATGTAGCTCAGTGAGAAGACCCTGCGTTCAATCTCTAGTATTGGGGAGGGGAGAAGAAAAAGAAGGAGGAGGAGGAGAAGAGACAGAGATAGAGAAGAGAAGAAAAAGAAGGAGACAAGGAGAAAAGAAGAAGGAAGAGGAGATGAAGAAGAAGGAGAGAAAAAGAGAGAGAAGAAGGAGGAAGAGAGGAACAGGAAGAGGAAGGAGAAGGGAGAAGAAGAAAAGGAGAAGAAGAAGAGACAGAGAAAATAAAAAGGAGAGGGGGAGAAAAGAAGGAGGAGAAGAAGAAGAGAGAGAGAAAAGGAAGAGAAGGAAAAGAAGGAAGAGGAAGAAGATAAGGGAGGAGAAAGAGAAAGAAAAGGAGAAGGGGAATGAGAGAAAGAGAGACTAACTGCAATGTAGAACCCTGAAAGCAGAGTCGTATAGCTACAAAAAGGGCATTAGTAAGATAATTAGTGAAATTTGAATCCAAGGATGCTCCAACACAGCTATAATCCCAGCCCTTTTATATTCTGAGACATGGTCTCACTGAATTGTCCAGGCTGAATTCTCCTGCCTCAACTTCCAGAGTAGCTGGGGTTACAGGTGTGTGCCACACACTCAGCTTGGTTTCTTACTCTTGATAATCACACAACGGCTACATAAGATGTTAATAAGGAATTTGAGAGAGGAAAGAGCTCTTTATACTATTTCTCTAAGTTTTAAAATTTGTTCTAAATGTGGCATCTATACACAATGGAGTACTACTCAGCCATAAAGGAGGATACATTTGAGTCATTTGCAGGAAAATGGATGCACCTTGGGATAATACCAAATGAAATAAACCAAACACAGAAAGTTAAATATCACCTAGTCTCTCTTATATGAGAAACCCAAAGATTAAATAGTTGGAAGAGCAAAATAAAAGATGGATGATAGGACACAGGAAGGCAGGCTTTTCAGGGATGGGCAGAGGATCTAGGGATGCAGGGAGAGGGGAAAAGGGGAGGGAAAGGGAACAAAAAAGGATTAAAATGCTGTCTGTGTACCAACGCCCACAAGCTGTGCATTCGATATGTATTGCACACACGTAGCAATAAAAAGGAAAGAAAACAACTACTTCACATTTTTTTTCTTTATTTTTTTTATAGAGGAAAGCGTGAACGCAGTCCCCCACTACCACAAAGTATGCAGTCGAGTTTCCCACACTTGGGGAAATCGCAGGCGTCAGCACATCCAGAGTGCAATGGATAAGCATCGCCCCGGGAAAACCACCTTCGTGATCATGCTATCTCCCCTGCCAGGTAAGTATGTGAACAGTTTGTGTGATTCCTTCAAAATTTAAAATTTCTATTCTAGAAAAAAATATAAAAAAGGATAATTTTATACTAAAGTTTAACAGTAAAACAAAAATTAATTACTTGACAAATAGATGCCCTGGAGAAAAAAATTCTCTTGACAAATCCTGATCCCAGCTCTTACCCTTATTAGTGCTTCATAATTATTAATTAATCTTTTCATTTTAATATGAAACCTGAAAAAAAATTTAAAGAAAAAAATCTAAAGAAAATTTCTAAAAAGTCTAAATGTTGAATTACATAACAGAGATTAATAACCCTAAAATGTGAAGCGTGGCTATACTATACACAATTATAGGTAGGAAAGGGGAAATGTCTTTTTAAAATCAATTTTTAAAAATCTGTAACAGCTGAATTGACTAAACTTTTCAGAGTCCTAAATTACTACAGGTACACATTCCATTTCTGCAACTGTTCCAACTGAAAAAGACAAATACTGTATTTTGAAAATTCTGAGACCACTTTTCTCACAGATGCCTTGAAATACAGCAAAATCAGAACATGGATCATAAAATGTTAAGAAAAATGCTTCAAAAATATTGTCTAGAATACTTTTATGCCATTTATCACTTTAAGTTTAATAGAAGCAATACAAATATTTGTTTCTATAGCAACATGATAAAATGCTCTGAAAAAAATATATACTGCTATCAATTGTAAATGTAGGAGCCAGGGACATAGTTCAGTGGCACAAGCACCTGCCTGGCAAATGCAAGGTCCTGAGTTTGATTCCCAGTACCAAAAAAAAAAGTTACTAATGTACATGTATACTGATTTTGATAAGGGAGTCCTAAATAATTGGTTCCCTTTAAACAACGTTTTAAAACATTTTTAAGTAAAAGACTGGGGCTCTTTTTTTAATCTCTCTTTTACCCTACATTGAAAATAATTCTATTAGTGGTAACAATAAAATACTACTTAGAAATATTTCCAGGTTAAATGGAGCTATTTTTCTTTTTAGAAGACCTTTGTGTAAGTGGAACAAAAATTAGCAAAATAAAATAACAGGAGACACTAGAAATTTCCATACTGTCATTCACTTAACAACTCAATAACAGATTAATAATAATGCAAAATGTCAATTTTCAAATATTCTACAATTAGATAGTAACGATGGTTATACAACTCTGGAAACATACTAAAAACCTTTTGAAAAGTACACTTTAAAAGGGCAAATAATCAAGGTATGTGAATCATATACCTCAAGAAAAAGTCAACTTCAAAGTTTAGTTTAATATCTTAGTATTGGTCAAAGTTATTTTTCTATATATACTAAATTCTCTTAAAGCTAGTATTTAATTGATATAGATTATTTATAGATTCATGAGGACTGCTACAAAGCTCACATTAACAGTCAATTAGAACACATTTTGGACTCAGATTCATTCATTATAAAACGCTGTAAGAGTGTAAAATGAAACCGAAGAGATTTATCCTTATAGAAATTACTATAATTACATGTGTAAATGAACTTCCCAGAGAAACTGCTAAACCAGAACACAGATTTTCATATAAAATTTCAATTAGAGTATCTATATAAAAATTCAATTATTAAGTTCAAAGAACATCTATGGACTTCTTCAAACCTACCTGGTTCTGCCAGCTGAGATTTTTGCATTAAAACATCTCTTATTTTCTCCACCCACAGGTAAAGAACGCTTTCACCAATATTGTCACTAAACAAAATTCAGGGGGGACAAATGTTATTTCAAAAAATTTCTTTTTCAATTTCAAGAAAACAGAGACATAGTTACAGTTCAAGACATTATAAAAAACCTAATCATAACTTTTCCCAAAAAATTTATGAAAAGATACGGTTTACCAATATTCATGTCTAAGTATTTAATATAAATTGGTTACATCAACATTAAAAATACCAATCTGCTCCAAAATTAACTTAGTATATTTCACCTGACAACCACAGAGGTGAGATTTCTGAACTCGAACTAGAGGTACTACACAGATGCAAATGCGACTGTGTTTCTATCAGTGGATAAAATTTCAGTTTTGTGGGGTTTTAGGAGGGAGTTGAGACAAGATCTTGCTACGTAGTTCAGGCTAGACTTGAACTCACAATGTAGCCCAGGCTGGCCTCAAACTCATGGCGATTCTCCTGCCTCAGCTGCCTGAGTGCTGGCATTACAGGCGTGCACCATCACACCCACCTTTTTCTCAGTACTGATGACCAAGCACTGCGAGCTTTTTAGAACTTTTTAAACAATTTCAAACCATTTATTTGATATACATATCACTTACTAAACTTATTTCAACAAAAAAAAAAAATGCAAAACTTGGGGAACTCCTTCAGGGAGTCAATTTGTAAGACCTAAAAGAAAAAGCACTTTAATAACTTTATATTCATGCCTTGTTTTTGACAAAAAAATCCTATGGATTCCAAATAATGTTTAGCTGCCTCAGATAATTAATTTCAAAAGACCGCTGAGAAAAAGAACGTGTCATAGGTTTGACAGTCATGTCTATAGTTTTGTTAAATAATAGTAACAGCGATAAAATAAAAGGCCAAATATCTACTTTTTCAGGACTGACACTAACTTCAGATTAGTTTTGGTATGCATTTCATATATCACCACATTATTTTGTAGCAACACTTTGCCTCCTTCCTTTAAAGTTCCCCTTGAAACCATTCTTTTTATCACCACTCAACAGCAAAGGAAACTTTCAAAACAAGCACAGAGAGGAAAACATTATGTTCTAACAATCTGATGCCCTCAAACCCTATCTCATACATCGCTGCTAACACTAAAATCAACCTTTGTGCACCCTTTCACAACCTTTCTTTTCAGAGAGAACAGAAGTCAACAGAAAAGGTTTTTTTCAATTGAGAATGTTGGTGAATTTCTGTTAAAGACTTCGCACTCCATCCTCTCTTCCCAGTGAGTTAGCCTAACTGAGACAATGTAAGGTAAAATGTATTGAGTATACATGAAATCCCAAACATATTTTACATATACACCACCACACAGAATGAAAAGAACTTACAGAGATCAATTAACTTGTTCCAAGATGGTCTTACAGGCAGTAAAAAGCCCACAGCTAGAATAAGAACTGGGATTAGGTGGTTCAAAGCTCAAGTCAACTACATTTTAGTCTACCACCAAACGGCTATGATCTTAGTCAGCCACTTGAACTCTCAGAGTTGGCTTCCTGACCTACAAGATGAGAGATTTAAAGCAATTTGTCTCTGGCTGGGGACTTAGCCCAGTGGCACAGCGCCTGCCTGGCAAGTGCAAGGTCGTGAGTTCAATTTCCGGTATTGGAAAAAAAAAAAAAAAAGCAATTTGTCTCTAAATGTCTACAATTCCTGCTTATAAAAAAATAAAAAACTTTAAAACAAGCTTTTAAGTTTGAAAAAAATGAAAATATTTACAGCACTCCTTTTCAAGTGAATCTATCTGAATTCATTCAACAAATCTTTTAACAGCCTCTTGCATATCACCCACTACGCGTTGCCCTGGAGGATGCTAGTGAATGGCACAATGGGTCCCTTTTCTCAGTGTTTCCAATCGCTATGCTAACAAAATCATAGTTTTGTAGACTGTTCTACTTTCTAATCTCATTCTTCAAATCATCATCATGCTTCATAATGGTACTGTGATACCCATCCCTATATTTACTGAACACTGTGTAGATGACATGCAAAACATGCTTTGGGAATATTATCTCAGTTAATCTTTACAATATTACCTCAGCTAATCTTTAAGACAGGAAAATCATCTCTCAGTAAATTCACAGTAATACTTTTTTAAAAAAATAAGACCTAGAAGAAGCTTTACAACTAATAAGTCATTTTTCACAATAGTGAGTAAGAAATCACTTCAGATTTCCTCCCTCCTGGCCCATGGTTCCCTGCACAAAGACACACAACGACACTTCTGCTCAGCAGCATGTACTGACTACTTCCTCCTTCATCAGCATTGAACAAGACTGTTACTGAAAATTCAACATAAAGAAGTAGAAGTGCATATAAAAGATTGCCTGGGTAAAATGAAAATCATTTTTCCTTTAGGCCCCAAAGTCTACCACGAAGCCAGGCTTGGGATGCACACCTGTAACCCCTGCTACTTGGAAAGCTGATGCCGAAGAAAGGTTATCAAGCTTGAGGCCAGCCTGGAAAAACTAGCAAGACCTTCTTAAAATTTAAAAATAGAAAGCACTGGGAATGCAGCACTCCCTGGTTCAATTCCTAATACTTAAAATGGGAGGGGAATTTTCTTTTTTAGTTTATTATTATTGTTACTACAGTATTTGTGTTTCCTCTTCTGACAATAATTTGTTCCTATCTTTTAACTATCCACTAGAATTTGGAGTGATTCTTACCAAAACAACTAGTTTTTAAACTCTGACCTCCTTGATAAAATCTCTTCTAGAAAGAGACCCCAATTAAACTGACAGAAGTTGAGAGTCCAGCCTCCTGAACCTCTCTTCTCCTCAAAATGGCCTTGGAAGAAGTATGCCAAATACTAAAACCTCTGGTACAAAATTTAAGAATTACTCATTATAGACTGAGGTGCTAGGTTTTTATCCATAAATTCAAATCATGATAAAAGAACTAAATATACACAGTGTGAGACAAAATCTGTTTCAACTTGAGTATTTTATTCGCTCTAGTTTGTGAGTAACTTAACAGCAATCCAATCTGGAATAAGCAAAACAAAGTCAAGCTACTTCTGACTCTATTTCTATCTATGGCTCTAACATTTTTAGCTTTCATTTTCCAATATTTGCTTTTGTTGACTTAACAATAAAATTATTCATGATAACATTGTAAGCTATATAATCTTATACTAGTCACTCGATCCCAATTTCAGGCCTCACATTTACAAAAGGATGAAACTCAATAATATGATCCCCACAGTCATAACAACAAAAAGGGCTAACTGCTTGCATAATGTGGATCTTGAATGACTGCCTCCCCGCTTGAAAAAGAAAAAAAACAAAATAGCCCGTTTGTCAAAGGCTTGACACCTAGGAAGTATTATTAGGAGGTGGGGGAGCCCTGCAGAGGTGAGGGCTGGTGGGAGGTCTTCGGTCACCGGGAGGGTGCCCAGAGAAGCGCACTGTGGGTCCCAGGCCCTTCCTCCTTCCTACTCCCTGGCTCAGGCTGTGAGTCATTCTGCTCTGCCCTATGCTCTTGCCATGAAGAGCTGCCTGCCACAGGTCCTGGGAAATGGGCCAACTCAGCACACTAGAACCTCCAAACCTCTGAGACTGGAGCTCTAAAATTTGTTATAGTAACAGAGAACTAACATCAATTCACTGAACTCTGAAGACATCAACTGCTTCACACCTACATGAGTTTGCTCACACAGATCTCTCTACCAGAAAAGTCCTCCGCTGGTTACCTGGCACACTCCGTGCACTAAGTCCCCTTCACAGTGGAATCCCCCCGACAGTCTTCTTCATACGTTCAGAGAGAGTTTGCTGCTAAAGCTTCAAAGAATGCTACTATAACACCTGGACGAAACTTCTCAGTGACCATCTCACTATACTGTGTAGATATATACTCATCTTAATCCGTGCCTGTACATGTGTGCTGCTGGGTGTCAAACCCAGGGCTAGACAAGCACTCTTACCAATGGGTTGCACACCCAGCCCTTTCACCTCAATTGGTAAATCCCAAATTCATAACACAGTGTTAGTACACAGGAGATGCTCAATAAATGTTTACTGGAAAAGCTATTTTCTTTCTTGCCTTCCTACATTAGTTGCAACTAACCACAGATTATCTTCTTATCTAGGCAAAAATAAAATTCAGCACTCAAAATGATGCTAAATGTATAGTGTTATAATATTCAGAATCATAAAAATCATAAACATTAAGAACTACATTCACACATTCATATGTTTAATTTTTGAAGTTCAATAATTTTTACTTACTGCCCCCTGCTGGAAGTACAAGTATGATTAAAATTTGTTGCAAAAACCTGTTAAAGATATACCATATAACATACACTTCTATTTAGACCATGCATTTAAAAATAAATTCCATTAGACTGGGGTTAGTCAAGCACTTTTAAGAAGCAGACAATGTGACACATATTTCATCTTTAGAACAAACTTCTTTGTAATTTTTGAGACTTCCTAAATTTGAACTAGAGAAGACAGGCAAGGTGTAGCCTATGGGATGCTATCTCTCAGCAAAAAGGAGAACTTTGGGAACAGGAAAAGTGTATGTGGGTAGCCAATGCAGAGTGTATGACATTGTGCATGAGTAGGAAAAAACTCTAATTGATGAAGGTGATTAATATGATGGAAGTTAAGTGTGGAAAGATTCTCAAGAAAAAAGAAAGTGCTCAATATCACCAAGTTACAGAGGTAATTTAAAATACTAGCTTACAAATGACCATCAGGTATATATTTAAGGTGAGCAAATTTTCAATACTGTGCACTTACTCTAAGGGGAGAAAAGTTGGCAAATAAGAACAATTGGATACACAAAAAAGTTTGTTAGGAGCACAAACATAGGAGTGGCCAGTGGACAGACATCAAAAAATTGATGAAATATTAACTGTTCCTTTCAATAAACCATTAGACATCAGCAGTACAATTATCCCAGATATATATGTATTTTTTTCCTTCTTTCTTTGTTTTTGTCCTGTTCCCCATTCCAGTTATTCCCTCCCCTGAGCAATTTCCCTCCCCTTCATAATATCTACTGTACATTTTTTGTTTTATTTACTCTTTCAGGTTCTTACACTAGGGAGATAATATGTTTATGCATGTGCGTCCGATTTATTTCACTAATGAGTATGGTCTCTGGTTGCATCCATTTACCTATAAAAGCCTCAAGTTTATCTTTTTTATAACTGAGTAATACTCCATTGTATAAATATGCCACATCTTTTTCATCCATTCTTCCGTTGATAGGCATTTGGGTTGTTTCCAAGATTTAGCTATGACGAATTGTGCCACTATAAACATGGATGCACATATATCATTGTAGTATGTTTTCAAATTTTCTAGAAAAATACCCATCTTGTCTAGTGAAGCTCTGTATTGTTTTTAATTTTTTTTATTATTTTTTATTCTCTTTAATAGTTTGATCAATCTTCAATTCTTACATCTGGTAATCTGAGGAACTTCGCTGAAGATAACAATATGTAATATAACAACCACTGTTAATCTCTATCATTCTGTTTTGAAACCCTGTATCATTTTTATTGTTTTTGCTCTGTTTTGTTTTTGTCTACGCTCTTGTACTTTTGTTATTTTTTATTCTCTTTAAAATAAAAATAAATAAATAAACTGATGAAATAGCATTTGCATTCTGAAGGTAAACACAAGCACTAAAGTTGGACGCATGAAAGATCACACTTCTTTTAAGAGGGAACAAGCAGAATGCATTCCACAATGACTTACCATTTTCTAAATAAATATTTTGGGAGGAAAAGAAACCTGGCCTGGATCCCAGGGACACAAAAGGGGCACTCTCACTGTACCAAATGAGGTGGCCACCTAGAACATATAATAGAATCCTTACTAGTTCCTGGATTACAAAAAACTAGTATTCCAGATTATTTGTTTTAATAAATTAATATAGCATATTAAAATCTATCCAAATCAATCATCTCTTCTCTGGATGAATGCAGCAGCCTCCTAACTGATTTCTCACATCTATTCTTGCTACCTTCTGATCAGTTTCCACACAGAAATAGAAGGAGCTTTCAAAATGACAATCTTATCACTGGCATCCTACTACTTAAAATTCTGCTTCCGATTTTCTTAGGATAAACATAAAAATCCTTAATCTAGTCTACAAAACGCTGTAGAACCTTCCCCGCCTACCTCTCCGGGTCACTCTCTCACCGTGTCCTCTCCCTCCTCACTGTTCTGCACACAGAGCTGTCACACATACTGTGGCCTCACTGGAGCTGGCTTCACCCAGTTAACTCAACCCTTTGTCAAACAAGTTGCCCCCGACCTCCTGGAAATCTGGTTTCAAATTCAATAGCCCAGTACCGCCTATCTTTCTTTTGTAGAACCTATCACAGCTGCAGTTTTATATGCATTTTAATGATGTTACTAGTACTGTCTCCTTTCCTATCAATTCTAAATGCCATGAAAATAAAGGGATCACTTCTGGTTTTGCTTACCATGTGTGTCAAGGGTCTAATACAGTGCCTGCCATGTAGTATTGGGTGAATAAATGAAAGGAAGGAAGGAAAAACACAGTATTTCAACTCTAGTCTTATGGCCTAAATAAAAGAAATTGCCAAACTTTAGAATTCAAATTAATTAAAATTAACTAATTAACTTTAATTGGAACTAATTAAATGTTATAAGTTTAATAAATATTGGTTAGAATTCTGCTGTCATCAATTTCAGTCTATATATTTTATAAAAATATACAAACAAAAGCAAAATCTTCTAATGTACTTTCATGAGCTAAGTGTTCTTATATCTATTAGCTCTAAATAGTACCGTATTTTTATATCTAAACAGAAGTCATATCAAATATATATACAAAATTACAAAACCTTTGCAGGTCTCTTCAAGTCGATTTTCGTTAATGGAAAGGCAGTTTCACAAAAAGTTGAGGAAAGGTACTAACATATCACATATCATCACATATTTAACAAATGCCCCAAACAGAATCAATAATAGATTGCTTTAATCATCTGTCACTTACACATATATTTCCTCAAGGCTGTTGGATATATTCACACGTTCTTGCCCTCTAAGCCAAGGAGCACTAAGATTGAATAAAACACAATAAAGATCACCAAGGGTTGTGTTATGACTGAAACATAATTTACTGATTAACCCACAAATTAGTTTTAATTAACTTTGTTTTGTTTTTGAGACAAGGTCTCACTATGTAGTTCAGGCTGGCCTTGAACTTTCCAGAGATCCTCTGCCTCAGCCTCCTGAGTGCTGGAATTACAGGTATGTGTCACCAGACCTGACTAGTTTTACTTAAGTTTTTGCAAGTATTTATTTTCACTAAAATGTTGTCTTGTATTTGTACAAACCTATACAGTTCCAAAATACTTCCTCTGGCATTAATTTAATCCTTCCCCCAAAACATAACAAAAGCAACACCAGTATTTTTCAGTTTTAATGGTTTAAAAAACATAAATGACTTCGTAGGGTAGCATAAACCTACCCAAGTTTACATATGTGGAAGAACAGGTTCTGAAATCTAAATTTCCAGGTTCACAATATTTGCCACAATACCAGCAGTTCCCAATGTTTTTCTAATGTAGATCTTGAAAACAATTCTAACAAGTAAGCTGGCTGCCATGATTGTAAAGCAAAAAATAAATAAATAGATCTTAGACAGATAGATAGATTAGAAAGGATATTAATGCTTTTAAACACTTGGTATCTATTCTTTGCAATAAATAGAAATACAAATTCACAGAACCACTTTTATTAGCAATTCTTATGGTTACAGTTTTAAAATGCTCTCTCAGAAATAATACTGTTAATAGGTAAAAATTTTTAGTAAGATTTCTTTATAGAAATTTGTTCACACAATTCATTCACACTACTCCCATAGGTCAAAGGTCACGCAGATCACAGGTCACTTGCATCCCCAGGTCATTACTCTTAAAGATTAAGCCTGGACTTCTAAGAAAATGGTTCTTCAATAACAAGGGAGAAAGGGGAAGGACAACCACCAGAAGCACCTTGGGTACTTCGTGTAAGCTAGAAAGCCTGAAGCTGAAGTTCACTAAGGAACTGAGGTTAGGTCAGCAGAATCAGGTTAGCGGAACCTCTAAGGGACAGGGTTTCCAAATCACTAGGCTGAAGACAGAGGAAGGTTTTCTTCCCCCTCTTTAAAGATCACTCTATAGCCATTTTGTTCCTAAAACTCCATGATCCTCTTTTATACAAGCAGCATATTTTGAAGTGTTTTCATATCTTTTAATTTCTTTATTTAAAAGGTCTATACCAAGTAAAAAAGGTATTTTTAATTCCTACACATCTTTTTAAAAAGCATTTTATATAAGCACAACACATAGTACAGAGAAATACCTTTGAAAGCATAATCGTTTTATAAAAATATAAATGTAGAAAAATAGCTCACTTTATCTGATAAATGGGTGGAGCTGTAGCTGGGTATTCACTCGGCAGAATCACCTGCAATGCAGTTTAAAAACAAATCTGTTTACACCTCCTCATGGTTCAGAGTAACTATATTTATAAAGCTAATCATCGAACAAATATCTAGTTTGCCAAACACAAAAACAAACCATTGTTTTGCTAGATCTTAAGAGAGAATTGCCTCCTTGTACTTACGCTTCCAAACTAGATACACTGTTAGTGATACTGCCAATGTTTTAAAGGAAAGCTAATTATTTGCAGAGTAAGTATGAAAGCAATGAAAATTGGAACAAATGAGAGTAAAGAGGCCAGAGATGGAAGGAAAAGCAAAACTGAAACAGGGGCATTATGCCTTAACTCCAAATCGACAGTGACACAACATTTTCCAGAGAATTTTTGAAGAACTACTAGAAGAACACTATGAGATACTATCAAATACAGCACATAAAAAAGATAACACATAATAGTGAACTATACACATTTCTTCTCAAATCAATATCAAAAAAACAAATACTGACAAAAATTCAACTTACTATTATTTAGGCTCAAAGTATAGGCAGTCATCAAACAAGCACTACGAAGAGCAGGGGGAGGGGAAATAAGTCGAATAAGGGCCTGGTACAGGAACCTAATTGCCACAATGAAGCTAAACATTATATGCCATAACATGAGCTAAGATTAAGAATATCAACAAGAATGAAAATCGGGGTAGGGGAATGGGAGGAGGGAGGGGGGCCAAGGGATTACAAAAATAAGCTGCAGTATGTACATGGACCCTAGCCCCAAGATGACTGCAAACTGCATGTACTGCAAACATGTACTAATAAAATTCTTAAAAGTTAAAAGAGAATAATAACATATATTAAAATAAAAAAAGAAACTACTGCTACTATAAAAAAAGACCAAAAAAATGAGTACTAAGACAGAAAGCCACCATTTATTTTATCCTTACTACAACTGTTCTCAATAAAGGAATGCACATGCACTCCATAAATCACCCACGTTGTTAACCTATTGTTCCTCATAAATGTTAACGATATTTCCATTTCGACCCTCTGCTATTAGCTGGATGGAAAAATGAAAGGAAATCCAACTCCAGTCTGTCAAAGTTACATTAAGACTTCCAATAATTAAAAGAACAAGACAAGAAATATTGAAACAATCAATGAAAGCACGATATGAGAGTGATTTGAAATTTAACTGCTCATGTTTAGGTAATTAATCATGACAAAAGCCAAAATCAAATTTAGAAAATACTGTAACACATGCAAAAATAACCACGAGAACAGTGGTCAATCGAATAGTCAATATGGCAATTTGAAAATGGCTGTAGAGAAGCAGAAAAAAAAAAAAAAATACCTGCAAGGAAATTGTCCACTTGGGATGTTCTTTATCGTCGCTAATTCTGATACAAAATACTCTGGCGGGGCCATCAACGACACACCATTCTTCGCCATAAATGGCTGACAGTGCTTCAATTTCATCATTCTGAAAGGTGATTTTTTTAAAAAGTCAACTAACGTGCACACCCAGAAAAACTATTCTCACTACCTTATACGGTATTAGTATTCAACAGCCCTATCCTGGATGGAAGATCCCCTGATAAACCTCGCAAGGTCAAACGTTCAGAGCTGTGGGTTACCACCACGTTCTCCTTCCTAAGCGGTTTCCCAACTTTACTGGGACCAGCCTTAGCAGTGCATTACTGGACTTCTGGCCTCTTCTGACCCAAAATGCATGTGCGCTTCCATGTCGTATAGAGAAGTTCGCGTGATAAACACATCTTCTCTAAGTGGTAATGCCCCAGCCCCACCCGTCAGCCTTGCCACCGTCCCTATATTCCTGCTGAATATCTAACCCGTTATTTCTGTTCCTGACTTTTTTTTTTTTAATTTGAGCTCAGAGTTGATACGTCTTCTTGTCTTTTTGGTCATTAAGCCTCAAAACAGTTCAGAAATTATTCTCTTCGTTGGGAATTAAAAAGGAAAAAGAATTTGCGCCTAACGGTGAAAAATACACAGAAAGTATACATTGCATTCCACTCATGTTGCCCTCGTGCCCCGGAGGTCGAGCCCTGGGAGCGCCCGCGTGCACCTAGCACAGGGGCAGGCTCCAGACCACGAAGAGTGTGACATTCGGGGGCGCACAGGGAGCTCAGGGTCTGTGTTATTGACCGTTCTTTTGCGAAGCTGAACACGGGCTCTTAAGAGCGTAGTCCAGGGTGACTTGGCCGCCACTAGGCGGGCACGGAACCCCATTTCAGCCTCCGGCGGGAGCGACTCAGTGGCATGCCAATGACAGGCGAGGATACCCTCGAGGAGCAACCGGGGCGCGCCGGGGACTCGGAGCGCAGCGCAGCAACAGGCGCGGCTGGGCCCTGGCGGAGGAGGCTGGGGCGGCGAGGCGACGCCGAGCTCAGCCTGGAGGATCGGCGCCCCGCAGGGGCCTCACCTGCCTCTGGTCGTTCCCTGCGTTCCCCTCAGCCATGTGGCCCGGGAGCGGACTTAAGACCACCCTCTGCCCAAGTCAAGAAAGCCGGGGCGGGGAGCAGCGGCTGCCGGCAGCGGAGCGGCCGACCCGGAACCGCAACCCGGCAGCGCCGCACCGCCCGCATCTGCTTCCGGGTTGCGGGGCAGGTTGGGCGCCCGGGCTCGCGGCTTTGAGGCTAAGGTGTGGGACCGCGCTTCCGGGCCCGGCCCGGGCAGCTGCAGGAGGCGTCCGCGCCCCCACTGCAGCCGGCACCGTGGGAGCGCCCAGGAGACTCGGGGACTCCTGATCCGCACCACGGCCCGGGAAGGGACCCGACCGCGGTCCGCAGCCGCGGACTCGGCTTTACGTTTCAAGGCGGGGTTTTTGTTTTAACACGTTTTAAGTTACCTGATTTGGGCGAAGAATATTTTTACCAAAAACGGAAGAGGGTAGGCAATTTTGATAACTCAAGGGGAAACCCGTATTTTCTCACTAGAGTTCCCGATGTCCTTGGGATATGGAAAAATTTAACTCCCAGCATGTTAGAGGACCTCTGTGCGCAGTTCTCGTACTCTGGAACCAAAGAAGGAAGTTAGCTTTTTATGGGAAATAAGAAGAAAAAGAATAGCGGTTGGATTTCCACGAAGGGCCCTGAACCGTTGCCCGTTGTTAGGGGTAATTTATACAGCAAAATCACATCGTGGATCACGTGTCATCACCTGTAGGATTACAAGTATAGCCGCTTAACTAACATAGATTCAATAGGGAAACAAGTCATATAGTAAGGGTATGTGCAAAGAACAAAGGCGTTTTTGTAAATGGAAGAGAGTATGAGTGCTGATGTTCTGTCCCAAGTTGTTGTTTATGCCTGTTTATGGCGAGGGAGGCATACAGACCTGTCTGTCCAGATTCGCCACTAGCCACAATCTTTGTGTCTCATCGTCTGTGCTGACTTTCCAAGGGCCTGATCCCACTCTACGTTTTAATTTTTATCTAATGTAGCTGCCTGTAATACTTGAACATTTTGCCTGACAACAGTTATACCCAAGTCAGCATATGGATCATTGTTTCATTGTACAAAAAAAAAAAAAAAAAAATTGAGTCAATTTGTCATTTCTTCCCCATTGCAATACACACATTAAATGTCACATTCCGGTATTGGTTAGTAATTTTAGCAGTTGCCTAATTCACAACACCGCCATTGAGACCTTCATTCTGTTGCTTGGGAGACTTTTTCCACCCTCTCCTTTTCTTCTCACACAAATACACACAAAAAAGACAGACAGACAAAATACTGCACCTTACCTTTCTCCTCTCTTTAATCAAGAGCATCTTTTCTGGCCCCCTTTAAACTTTTCTCAGGTTAAGGGTGCACTGCCGAAGTACAATTATTAATTCAACAAACATTTGTGAGGCTCTTATTGTGCCAAACGTTGGACATGCAGAACCAAATTTCATGAATTGCCTTTAAAAAGCTAAACTATGGGGGAACACAAGTAAATCAACTATTAAAATGGACTAGAAGTGTATTCTGCTTTGTTAGTGGTACATAGAAGAGCCTGAAGTTTTCTGCAGTAATCTATTGTTAAGTAGCTGTTATGGTTCATGTCTAGATGTACCCCCTAAAGCCTTATGCAATCATAGGTTGGGCTTTTCAGAGGTGACTGGATCTAGTGCGTGAAGCTGGGATTAATTCATGGTGCAAAGCTAGGATTAAGGATGTATGTGCTACCTGCCCTAAAGGGACAGAAAGAGACTTACTACTCGCTGGTTGCTTGCGTTTTTGCTGTCTTCTGGCTGTCATGAACTGTTTATCCTCTGTCATGCCACCCTGCCTTGGAGCCAGCCAACTACGAGCTTGAACCTCTACAAACTGTGAGCCAAAATAAACCTTTCTTCCTTTAACTTTGGGTGTCAGGTAGTTTGTCTCAGTAACAAGAGTACTAAAAGTAACTATGGCACTATCTTTCGTTCCTTTCCTCACTGTGAACTCTTCCTTCACCAATCTCATCATCCCTCTGATAACTTCTGCATAAAATAGTGGTGGATCACACTTAAGCACTTTTATTTAAAGGCCATGGAGTCCTTTAAGGAAATCTTATGTAATGCAAATTAGATTGCTGTGGTTGAAACAGCAGTGGTAGAACAGAGAGGTAGCGATATTTAGTAACCCCTCCTCCCTTTCAGTAGCCCCTGAACTGAAAATTGAAGTTTGAAAAATACTACATCAGGGAGTAGGGGTATGGCTCAATAGTACAGCACTTGCCTAGCGTACAAGAGGCCTGGGTTTAATTCCCATTATTGCAAAAATATATATAAACAAAAAGACATTAGAAGTTAGCCTTCAAGCCTGGTGTCGTGGCACACGCTTGTAATCGCAGCACTTGGGAGGCTGAGGCAGGAGGATCGCTGTGAGTTCGAGGCCAACTTGAACTGCATAGTGAAACACTGTCTCCAAAAGGAAAAAAAAGTTAGCCTTCTAAGCGAAGCACAATATATCCAGTTTAATATATATAGTACTGCACTTCTTTTCTTACCCAAGCAACCCAGTCTGTTTTACCTTCTGCAGATTATATCCATGGTTCTCTATTAATTCCTATTTCCTTATAACTTCATTTCTTTTTCTGCACTCTGATTCTAAACAGAATTGACTCATTGTACCAAAGGGAACAGAAAAAACAACAAAAAAAAACTCTTCCTATTTTTCTGGCCTGCTTCAGCATGTGACCAATACAGAAAATCCTAAATAAGGGCCTAGACTTGGATATCCAAACAGTACTATGAAAAGAGAAAGAGAGAAGTAAATACTGGAGTTACAAATGTAGCAGGCAAGCTATATCTTGAAGAATGTATTGCAACAAATTAAGACAGCTGGGCATGGTAGTATAATCCCAGCACTCAGGAGGCTGAGGCAGGGGATCACCTCAAGTTTGAGGCTAGAGTGTGCTACTTTGTAAGTTCAAAACCAGCCTGAACTACACAGCAAGACTTTGTCTCAAAAAAACAAAAACAAAGAACAAACAAAAAAAAAGACAGTCTGTAGGCAATTCAACTGAAAAAAATGTGTGAACTTTGAGCAGTCACCTAAGTAGAGTCTGGGAATGCTCTGCAAATAGTCCGCTTATGCTTCCATTAAATAGAATGATGACTGGGTGTCTCCCTTAAACTCAGTATGCTCAAAACTGAGTTCAATAGCTTTTTAAAAAACATCTTCTTCCTCCTGTCATCCTCAATACAGTAATTGTCAGCCCTCAACTCCCTGCATCAGTTGCTCGGATTTGAAATTTGGGAGACATATGCGTACTCTCCTTCCTTGCCTCCATAGCCATGCAGCAAGTTTTGACGGTTCTGATTCCTTAATATTTCTTATCCTCCTTTCTAGGTCTCTCTGGTTCAAGCTGGACCCTCTTCAAGTTATCCTGCTCTCTTCTGCCAGAGTAATCATCGAATATGTACAAGTCTGCTCATTTCTTGCTTTGGCTTTTTTGAAACAGGGTCTCGCTATGTAGTTCAGGCTTGCCTTGAACTCACTATGTAGCCCAAGGTGGCCTCGAACACATGGCAGCACCAGGCCTGGCCCAGTCATGTCTTTCTGTCCTTGAAACCCTTCATTCATCCCCTCTAGCTTTCATGACAACATTGCAACACCCTAACAGCATCCCACGACTTCAGAAAAATAAGAATACTATACAATAGACCCTGCATAAGGAATATCTGAGCCAAAATACACAGAAAAGTCCATGCCTAGAGTGAAGCAAGAGTGCAGATCTATTTAACTGGATGATAACTGCACAAGCCCTCAGGCGATCTGGGGGAAATGCACATGGCCAGATCTCTTAGGACGCTCACCTAGAAGAAATATAGTGACTGGCTGTAGAAGACCATTTGTGCAGGATGGACTTTGGAGCCCAGGATTGCTCGAAGAAGGGGCTTGAAACTTTCAGATTGAAAAACATAATCTGTCCAGACCAAAGTGTCAGATTTGTGTCTATCGGATGGCTCTCTGGGCCTCTTTAGACTGCTTCCCGGTGTTCTCTCCAGATACTTCCTCTAATACATTTCTTGCACATTGAACTTCATCTTGCTGGCTTCCCTCCCCAGGAACCAAACTAGCATAAGCAGCTGTAGGATACACTGTAACACAGGTGAATTCTGTCCATATAGTAGTTACAATAATTACTTGGGAGGCCAAGCTTAGACGGTCCCAGTGCCTTGGATTCCTCTGTAAGCAAACTGAAACCCCAGGTAAACTAAGCGTAACTCACCAGAAACCACCACCTAACCTCTATGCAGAGATTACTAATCAGACACTGCCAACTAACCTCTAAATGGGGACTTTCCACTGTAAAAAACCAAAGACTTTCAGTCTTCTTTCCACAAACACCTCATAAAAGTTCTCCCTTGTTATGGCTTATATCTAAAATAAGGGGCATTACAGCTGACTTGCTATTAGAAGGTGGGGTCTGGCCAGAAGCAGTAAGTCACTGTGGGTGTGACTGGGAAGGATATGGGTCCCCAGCACCTCCTGAGTCTTGGCTTCCTGATTGCCATGAAGTGAGCGGCTTTTCTCTGCCAAAGCCTTCCCCCAGGCCTTCCTGCCTTGAGCCTGCTGACTATGAAATAAAAACGTGAGCCAAAATAAATGTCTCCTCCTCCAGATGGTGAGTATATTGAGTCCCAGAGATAAGAAAGTGACTAAGAAAACCCTTCTGCCCCTTTGGCAGAATGCTGAACTATCTTGTCTGGTGATGCCCAATGTATGCATAGCTGAATGCGCAAATAAAATCATCTAGATCCACTATCAGTGATGATTTTTCCCCTCTGTTTTCTGTGTTTTGCTTAAGACCCAGATGATGAAAGCCAACAAACTGTACTACACCCAATGAATGTAGAGCCTGTTGCTTCTCTTGTGCCATGTAATTATATGGAGCCCGATAGGTGAATCTGCTGTGGCCAAGACAAATGATAAAAGTGCAAAGAGTAAAATGCTGGGTATAAAATTTATGTAAAAGGCTTTATCAAGGAAATAATATTAGCAGGCAATTGGTGAAGGAAGACTTTCATATTGTCTCCATAATTAACACTGCAATCTGAGGTTAGCTGACAAGTGTGTAAATAGTAGCTAGAAAA